GATCAGTGTTGCTGAACTATAAAATGTTTTGGGTGGAGTGTATTTTTTGCATACAGGTATAACAGAATAGCTTCGGTCTCTTGTTTTTTAAAACTTAAGTATGAACTTATACAAAATGCAGCAAGATATTTATAAAAAAAACCCAGTTTTATTGATTACAAAATACGCTTTATCGGATTCATATCGGTATCGGCAGATATCCAAATTTCTGATATCGGAATTGGTATCGGACATTAAAAAGTGGTATCGTGCCATCTATAGTCTTTAGGCACTTTATTACTAGCAGCTTGTCACATAAACACATAATCTGTTCCCATTTGTTTATTTCTTGGAATCTATGAAAAGTGCCAATGATAACACAGTTCAACAGGTATAGCATGTTTTGCACCAAGAAGGAGATTTCAGAAGAGCAATTGGTTGAAAACTTAGCGTATGTCGGCTTGGTAAATGTGTCAAATGCACTGGACATCTGGAGGAACAGCTTAACTATCTGCAGAAAATGAACAGTGAGTCATTAAAAATGGTGGTGGAGGGGGTGGGGGCATCCAAAGATCTAAAACAGGACCTGAGCGATGCATCTGGCACTTCAGTTGATGCGTCTACTGTTTGCTGAAGCCTCATCAGAAATGGTCTCAGTGGAAGGGTGGCTGTCAAGAAGTTATTCCTAAGGAAGGGAAAGGGGGAGAGAACACTAAGGTATATCAATTACACAAGAACTGGACTGAAAATGCATGGCAACAGATCTGATGGAGCGATGAATCCAAATTTGGAGGTTTTGGTCAAATTGTTGTTAGGGGTGCTCAATGTAGTCTCAATATTATATAACAATGTTTCAAGGAAATTTACAACAGTGATATTTTTGCTCACATATAAAAACAAAACCCAGAACATTTTTTTTAATGGTGATTGCAGTTGATAGTATGCTGACATTTGGGAGTCCTTATATTGATACTATCATAAGCATAAATATTAGTATGAATCCGTAGTAATGGTCTACAGACATCTGTAAAACACAGTGGAGGCTCTGGCATGGTTTGGGACTGTGTGTGATTGGCAATGACTTGTTTTTCAGCACAACAGTGATCCCGAACACAATGCTAATGCAGTAAAAGCATACCTGGGTAGAAAAACGCACAATGGAAAACTATCAGTCATGGACTGACCCCTCCAGAGTCTACCTCAACATCTCTCAAGCAATGCGGGATCATCTTGACAGAGATCTAATTAAAAGGCACTCAAAGAAAAGCTTGAATGCACTTCGAGAAGCCTGGAAGACTATTGCTGAAGATAACTTGAAGAAATCATGCAAGAGTTGCCCAGGAGGGTTCAGGCTATGTTGACGAATAAAGGTTGTAATGCCAAACATGGTCTTTCAAGCTTCTTACAATTCTGTAAACTCTTTTTTGCTTTATATACTGTATATCCATGTATGTTTAGATGCTTCAATAAATCATTTTCTAAGCAAAATGGAAAGAAATGAGGGGTAGGTCAAGTCATTTGCACAGCGCTGTATATGCAAGAGTCAATAGTGTTGATATTTACACTTTAAGTCTGAGAGCCAAAAGTTCTGCACTGTAGGTTTGCACAACAGTAAAAGAACAAACATCCCCCTCCCCCCTCCCTTCCAGCAGCAAAATCCATCATTAACCATCTGTTCAGTTATTTCTCACTAATCCTTACAATAACTCACTAAGTGCACTACTTCCTGGCAGATATTTTTGGAGCTATTAAATTCTGATGGCGCTGAAGGAAAATATCAAATATCCCACTTACTGGCGGAGTGCATTTTATACCATTCAACCTCTTGTTCTTAACCAGTTTAGGAAACCGAATACAGCACAACCTGATTACTTGCATGCACGTAAAAGCACAGAAAGGGTTTCTGTCTTTTGGATGACTTAAGACAGCAGAATGACATTTAGATTAAGGATATTGATAAGGGATTTAACAAATTAAGCAGAATTGCTACCACAGAGGGAAGAAAATAGCGTGACGAATCATGCTTCTCCATCTGGCAGTCTAGTGGATGAGTGAGTTTGGTGGTTGCCAGGAAAACGGTACCGTATTTTTCAGACCATAAGG